TCATTTAATCATTTTAATAAAATTGGATTGCGCAAATACAAAAGTTGGGTTGCGTATGCGCAGTTTTTTTTTAAATTTTATCTGCATATAGTTGCTTACGGACATTTTTTGTACAAGAATTATAAAAGAAACTCTTATTTTGGAGGTTTGAGCTGTAATTTTCAGGCCCGTTCAGATAGTTTTTACTTTTTTGGCGTCCAGAAAACGCAATATTGACATATCGAAAATTTATCACAATTACAATACTTTCCTTTATACAGCTGGAAAAGATGATTTGGTTTCCCAGATGAATATTGTTTGACACTAATGAAATTCTTAAAATTATACGTAGCACCAAAACCGAAATATTTTCAATATCGACAAGAACATAGTTTTTGAAATGTTTAATTTTTAAATGAAATAATTACTATTATTTTTTTATTAGGTACATTTGTACATTTTAAAATGTAAATAGTAGGTATCCATAGGTATACAAGAAACGAATGTCTTAAAAAAAGTAGCTCTTCCTTTGAGTGTCTGATATTAAAGCAAATGTTGTCATTAACTATTAAGACAACAATTTGAGTACGCTCTATTGTTATTACCAGCTTTCTGGTGTGACAACGATGTAGTTAGGTACAAATATCATTTCTTGTTCTGCCTAAGGACTAAGGAGAACCCAAAACAGATTAACTTTTTGGAAAATGTGAAAAAGGGATTTTGAGCAGCGTATACCAAAGCACCGAAATTAAACAAAAGGTCTGATGAGCTAAAAAGTCAATAAACGGGTCCTGATGGCGATGGTGTAGGTCAACCAGGGTCAGATGACAACATTTTTGGATTGAACTTTCTGTACATATACATATTGACTCACCTCTAAATATTCTGAGCCGTATCTATCTGAAGGAAACTCCCCAATTCCTAAAAAAAAAATTAAAGTTTTGCAAAGAAACGAGCACAACTTACCGAACCGATTTCCCTCAGATCTCTGTAGAGTTTTTTTCACTTTCGGAATTCCTTGGTGAACAATAGCGCTCGAAGGTAAGAAAAAATTTGACTTTATTGGAGAGTATAATTTTCCACCCGACAAGACGCTTTTAAACTTCTTTTTATCGAACGAATTTCTATCGACAATTTTCAGAGAGTTTCGTTGACTCAGTCGGGTCGATAATCTAGACGGTGTCAGTCGGATATCTGCTTTCAAATGTGAAACAGTGCTTGTTTTCGTGCTGCTTGGTCCATGTTCCTTCGTAATTGGTGCGAGGGATTGTTTCGTTGTCACATTTGTATCCAAATCGCCAAGAGGCGGACGTCGAGTCGAAGAAGCTCTAAGATTTGTGATTGCGGTGAATCGCTTTGGGGAAGGTAATCCATTGTCTGATGAAATCCGTTTTCGGGGTACCACTTTGGCGCATCTACAAGTTGTTTTCTTTGGGGCGATTATGTTTTTCCTACCTGATGTGATTACTAGTTTGTTTTCTTCCATATTTGGCTCAATATCATGCACTTATGAAGCTTTTACAGACATTGTATGCATTTAACAGATACTTTTAATATAAAATTTGTATCACCTATGGTGGTATCAATTGATAACAACACATTTGTCAAAGTTTATATTTGCTATATTTTACATTTATGTCATTTTGATAATGATAATTTAAACCTCTAAGTAAAAAGTGTCTTTTATAATGCTATTTCCAAATGTAATGCAATTCAACAACTAATATTTGGTATCAATATTAAATTTTGTAGAAGATCTGTAAAAAAAACTTTCCTGAAAAAAATCCAGAGCTGAGTGAGTGCATTTACAAGCAAAAATGATGACGCGCCTGATAAACTGATAGGGGCTGTGATTAACTTGTGCTGGCATGTGAGAGCATAGAGAAAGAGAATAAGGGGAAATAGGTTGTTGTTTACTGACTTCAAAGCATATTACACTTATAGAAGCTATTGCCAAATCTGTACTATTGTCGCTTCATGCTGATGCATTAACCCCATGGCTGAAGCCGATCTCTATAATTTGAGTATATTCCCTCAAAATTAATTAAATCTCACGTAATTTCGCCTAGATTTTTTTGTAGCTACAAAAAGCTGTGGAATCAGTTATACCAATTTACCGGGTACGCTCAATAATAGAGGAAGTTTGTTTTTGAGCACCACCACACTTGCAAAATTCGCAGCCTAAACCTGTTTCAGGTTTTATCTAATAACGGAGCAGAAGTTTGTGCTTTCCGAGTGCATTGGGACTAACTCCAGCATCAGGCCTTCTCAAATGATGTCCAGACGCACAGCTGGCAGTGGCATTGCACTTTTTATTTTGGCAACTTCTTTAATTGCCTGCTTCACTGCTTATTTTTATATACAGAATAATGTATGAGCTTCATCGCTTACATAAAGGATGACCTTTTTTGGATAGACCATATGGGGATCTCACAAACTAGCAGGTATAGAGAGTCAATACAATGGCGGGAAGTAATAATTGATTAGACAATTTTTTGAATTTTAACCAATGAAATTATTTATTGAGTGGGTCAACTGTACGGAGAATGGACTTGTGTGGTACACTGGCTTTAAGAAGCGGAATTTAATGCGCCTTTTTACTTTTCCGCATATATGAGTAGGTAAAAGTACTGTTTTCATCCGTTCTTGTTGTCCGGCTGGTTAGCACGATAACTAGGCCGTATTTTTCTGCACATGCGCAGCAGTAACTTTCTTATTTATGGACCAATCTTACCGAAATGTTGACAGTAGCATCTTTTGGTAAAGGTAAATCGATCAAGTATATTAAATGTATAAAAACTACATGCGCGCATGCCCAGAGATACATTTGACCTTATTGAAATTTTAATAATAGCACCTTTTAAATGATCAATTATATGTGTATTAGGTTTGTGAAAAACTACGCGCGCGCGAATGCACAAGGTACATTTTTTATTTCTGGACCGATATTTTAACAGAAGCAAATCAATCGATTATATCAAACATGTCACAAGCTGCTTTCGCGCATGTGCAAAAGTAAATTTCTGATTTGTGTACTAATTTTAACGGTATGTACAGGCGATCTGCGTTCATGATCCGTGTTAAGCTGCAGCGCGCAGTCGGCGCCCAGCGAGTTACCTTCGTATACATATTTTTCAGTCTCCATTGGCTAGAACTTCTACCGTTAATGGAGCCATTGTGTATATTTGAATTTGCCGCTCTACTTGACCCACCGCGCATTCTGCTAGTGGATCAAGCTTAATAGTCTAGTCATATTAGGATACTACCTGAAAACGTCTGTACCTAGGGAGTGCCACCCATACGACACATACATACCTAGAACTAATTCCCTAAATCGGGGCGGTCGATTTTCACTTTTTTGACCATATTTCACTAAACGTTGGAAATACAAAAATAATTTTTAAACAAAAGTAAAATACATCTTTTCAGTTCTCATAACTTTTGTCTTATCTCTTAACGGTTATCGAACAAAACTTGATTTTGTTTGATTTTTGGCACTGGTTTTTTGTTTCAGGAAATGTGACGACCAGCAGAAAATAAAGACAAAAACTGTGTTATATATGCGATCGTTGCTGTCTAGTCACCTTTGGAATTTTTGTTTACATAGTAAATTGTACTTGAATTTCCAAAGGCGACTCGACAGCAACTCATTTTTTATCGCCCGTTATTAGGCTATGGAAACAAATGATAAATGTAAAAGAAAAAAGCACATCAATCAATATTGTTGTCACAGCACATAGTCCAGGAAATGAAACTTAAAATAGTATAAAACCTGGTAATTTTTTCAAAATGCATCGATTTGCATGAAAATTTGGGATTAAGTTCAACTTACCCTCCACCTCAAAATCTATATTATGCCGATTGGCGCTCTTCATTTTTTAGGAGTGAAAACTACCCCCTTTTGGCAAAACCCATAAAACTACATAAAGCTTAAGGTGAGTAAAATTTGGATTCTTGTGTCTTTTTGACCAAAATTTCCCCAGGTCTTATTAAATAAATTGAAACATTTTACATGCAGGATGTTCTGACTGCTATTTCAACTGCGTAAACCTGACAACAGGTAAATTTTCAGTACATGTACAGGGTGGCTCGCTTTTCATCTTAGGCATTATCTGAACTTAGAGAAGCAAGACCCCCTGCAGTTTACACGTTTTCCCCCTCAAATTGAACACCAAACATAATTACAAAATCACCTCTCTTTAAAACAAAACAAAATCATTGGAATTATGAATTTTTGATCAATTTACCATCTAAACTCCTTTGGTCAGTATTTGCCTTTGATATACGCACACGATCATCTAAAAACAATCTATCAAGATCCTCCTAACTACATTGGCAACCAGATACCATTATACACAAAGTAAAATTCTCAGCCAAAGCAGAACAGAGGCATAGTTTTTTGGCCTCCATATTTTTACACTTGACATAGCACTTCTTGAGATAAGCGCGTCACTATTGTCCATTTAAACTTATCATAAAACATTAAACAAAAATTTGCTCTAGCTAGACAGATACCGCTCCCACCCCGCGCATGGGCGTTCTGCCCAAAAGCTTTGGAAATCAGAAATCAACTCAAATTTTACTGATAAGAAAAAACTCGGCTATTGCCTAATGTGATTTTCTAGGATGTTTAATATTCTAGCTTCTGTAAAATGTTGTTCTATAAACAACTGTCAGTCCATACATTCAGCTTCGTTTTATTTTAAAGTAGATACTATTTTGGTTGAAGATTGATTATCAAAATGGGTATTGTACAAAATAATACCTTCATCCACTTCTCAATCTGTTCTCCATTAATTATGGATAAAAATTAAGAGAAGAAATGGATAAAAAAAGAGGTTATAAGAGGGGGGGAAACAAACGTATCACTATTGGCAGTGGCAATATATAATATATCATAAGCAAGTCAACATAACTGACCAATGCAAAGGAGGTAATAGAATTGTAAAATGTGAATTGCCAACCTTTGAAGATATTGGGAATAATGGTTAATTATGAAATTTCAGAACATTATGTCAAAATAAAGTTAATCAACATTTTTAATCACACCTACCCTTCCACATTCGTTCTAGTCATGTAAGACTTAAAGATAAAATAACATCAATAATACAAAAAAGAGAACAAAACATACAAATTTCAAAATTAAAAAATACATATTTAAAACAACTTATACGAGACGATTTGCAACAAAACCTAAGATATTAATGGAATATATTAGTCTTTAATCACCATATTTATTAGGCGTAATAACTTGGAGGCACAGTCAAATCACTTAAAACAGAAAGCTCATCTTCTGTAAATTTTAATTTATGTATATCCCAATTATCATGGTGTGTTCGTTTGAAATTGCCTAACGTTTGATGGATGGTAGCCTAAAATTATAATTTTCATTTACCTGAACTCACAATAAGTGACTTACCGGAATAGGTTGTGGGTCATTTAAGTGCTTGCCCAACTCCAAAAATATGTCCGATAAGTAATCTGGAACGTCGTAGGGATGACAGCTGACAAACGAGCACATCCCTAACACAGCCGCATGTATGATGCGTATATTCTGATTGATCGATTGGTTCCCATTGCTAACGCTTAAATTACGACGTTTCAATTTGGTTCTTGACTTTAACTTAAATTCCGACTGCAAACAGATACATTTAAAAGCATTCAGTGCACTCACATTTATTTACCAATAATGCTTCCGGATTTGGTAAAAAGTGGCAATGCAGGAAGCCGCTGAGAGACGTAGCTGCAGTTACCCTAACCTCGGGCTGTTCGTCCTCTAACAGTTGCAACACGATTTTTTGAATCTAATGTCATACAGAAATAGTTGGTTGTAAATGGAGAGATGGCGGATTTACCTGTGCGACCCAACTCTCATTAGCAATGATTGTCGAGAAATTGTGGAATACCAGGACAGAAATAAATTCCGCAATGGCTGCTCTTGCAGACCAAAATGAGCACGACGAGACTTGCTCCATTGCGGACAAAGCTGCGGGAATATAAGCGCTGGGAGTGAGGGAGTGCCCGATTACCACCAAGAAATTCAAACAAATTGAACTTAATTCTTCGTCATAGTCGTTATTTTGTAACACGCACACTAATGGTAGTAATTCGTAGTGGCTTGGTACGGCTGCATAAATTCGGCGAGTTACGCCACTGGTTACATACTTGCACACTAAAAATAATTAATAATTTATCAATACATTCAGTTAATAGTAGCCAATTATCACACACAAATATATTGATTTTAATTAGTTACTGGATATCTTGTCAATAGTACTAAAAACTGAAACACTATACACCCCGAACTATAATAAAATGTTAACTAACGATTATTGGTGTAATTAAATGAATATTATTTACTTTATGGTGTGGGAATGCTAGATTTATCCTAGCAATCATTGTATTTAAACTAAACCTTACGAGTGATCTTAGGAAAGGAACAAAATTGTCGTCCAGTTTTCTTAAATCACTTTTCAAACAAAAGTTACTCATTTAAAAATTGATCCTTCAGGTCAGAAAGTGTCCCCCGCCTAAAATGTCACAAATAACAAATTACTGATTTAAGTCAATATTGTGATACTTCCCCCACCCCTCATATTTTATTGGCTAGAGCAATATGATGCAAAATTGATACAAGATTGCGATGCATGTATTTTTTATGCATATTTATTGGGTATATTTTAGGGAAAATGATATTTTTCTACTTAACCATGAATCGTACGCCCTCTAGCGGCAAACCTAGAAACTTGTAAATAATTTGCAAGGATTTCTCTTGGGCCCTTTTGTTAACAAATTTTTTTTCCGAAGTTGTGCAATTAACGGTTCCATAGATATGGCCTGGGACCTCTATTAATGGGACACCCTGTACAAACAAATTTCGTGGAATTCTCTCCATTTTCGTTGTCCAGCCAAGAATTGCAATAGAATTTTTTTTTGAATCTTCGTAAACTAATTTCAGATTCATGATTTTCATGTCAAAAACCCCTAGTTTAATTTTGAAAAAAACTGTCCAAAATCGAAAAGGGCATACCCGAAAACCTATTCAAAGACGTGCCACCAGTCTTGGCAACTCCTATGGTTCCTCAGAAAAAATTAAAGAAGAAATGCAAATCACTTTTTTGAGGGTTTATTGGACAAAAGTGCTCGTTTTGATGCCCCCTGCCATCCATTTTTTTTTTTACATACTTATATGTAACACCCTGTATAGGAGCCTTGAAGATACATAAAACTGTTACTAGTACAAGAAATTTGTCTTGCGCATGTGCAACCTAACTATTTTTCTTTGTCAAGATAATTAAATGAACTGTGAAGTGTCACAGTGTTACAGGCCATAAGTTGAAATTGGTGGTCCTGCACTTCAATTGTTCTTTTTCACCCCCACCCCCTCCGTTTCCTCTCTGTTACTATCCTGACCTTCCCAAATCCATGCCTGATTGCAGCGAATCATGGTGGATTGGCTTCGGTTAAGGTAGTTTGCAATTTTTCTGAACGAAAAACAACTTTCGTCCAAACCAAAAATATGACAGCTGTCGCCTTCTCTTAATTCGCGGTAGTTTCCACGTTGGCGTATTCTAGGCACGATCACAGCCTCAAAAGAAACAATTAAGAGCAAGAACTGAACAAAACTCGCAAAACATACACGATATAAAATTACTAGAAAAATGTGAAAGAACTGTCAAATAAGCCATTACCACTTGATCCATATGAATGAAATTTTAATCAATTGTTACCTTTTAGTAGTTAAACGTTTCTACCAAGTTTAATAAAAAATCCTACTCCTTCTTGGTGTTGCAATTTCCATGTCACTGAGTATACAGGGTGGCAATTTGAAAACTTACCACCCCCCAGTAGTTAGTAAATAAACGAGATATTTAAAAAAATCAAAATCCGTTTCGGTAATTCGGATGTGTGATACGTCGTTGAAAAGCTCTGAAAAAATACTTTCCAAGTTCCAACCACACCAAATAGCATTACATTTAGGTTAGTAATTATCGTGCAAATCAAAAAATAAACCAATATGATACATTTGGCTTTTATTTCAATAAATGTTCAAAATGGTTTCCATTATTGGTAAGATCGAGGGTAAGGCAGTAGTATAATCTATTCTCAAACTCTTGTCGAACATTTTGAAATGTTGGTTTTGCAATATATCGAGGTCAAGGAGGAGGGTTATGATTGGTAGAAATTAATTCCTTTCGTTGAGACCTTTCATTAGAGTACCATGAAGGATAAAACTAGTTGCACTCCCCCCCCCCCCTCCAGCCCGTACTTTGATAAGAGGCCAGAAAGAAGGGCAGTAATTGGTAGAAAACGGTTCGTTGAGACCTTTAATTAGAATACAATGAGATAAAATAAATTTTTAACCCCCCCCCAGGCCCGTCGCTCACTGATCTCGAAAAAGAGTCGCACGGGAAAGTTATAGTTGTACAAACCATATATTTCGATGAGACCTTTCATTAGAATACCATGAAGGGTAGAACATGTGTTTAATCCCCCCCCCCCTCCCCCTTTTTCTAAAGTTAAACTTGGCACCACTAAAGGCATGCGTATGCAAAATCTGAGACCAATTGGTTGTCGTATGTAAGTTTTACACTTTCAAAAACAGCATCTCAGGAAATAATTCGTGGGGGGCCCCCCTTTTAGACAGCGAAATTTGATGGCCGTCTGACACATCTTCAAGATATAGGCTACCTACTGCAAAAAATTCCAGGACTCTAGGACCATTCCCGTAGAAGTAGTTCGAAATGGCAGAAGTGGGTCCGGACGGACGAACAAAACGCAAACAATAGCATATTTTTTTAATTCTTAAAAAATGCGCTGCACTCACTTCTCTTGAACGGTTTCTGAGATATGAATTTTTGAATGGACCCTTACATCTCCAAATTTTTAGACAAAAATTGACCTGTCAAAAACCATGACTGATAGGTACACAAATCTTAAATACATTGAATTCACAATAAAATGGCGCATTTAGAAAAAAATAGAAAATGGTATGTTTGTAAAAAAAACAAGATGGCGCTAACTTCCGGTATTTACAGTAGCGGCGAAATGTATCTGTAATGATCGACTGTTGCTGTGTATCAAATTTCTATTTCTACTACAAGTTCAAAAACTTCTAACGAATGGGCTACCTTTAAATGAAATTTGATATATGTAAATAAGTAAAGGAATGTTCATTAGGTCATGGAAAGATAATTTAAATTAGAGTATAAGTACACAAACCAATGAATAATCAAATAGTTCCACAATTCGACAAAATGTGGCAGCACTTGTTAATCATTTAGGTGGAAGAACTATAAACTTAGACCATAAAGTACATGGACTGCTATTAAACAGCCCTATGCTTTCAATACAAAATGGGTGGTCTTATCGTATCTTCTATATGCCCAGAAATGAGAATTTGGTTTTTTGGCATTTCTAGGAGACTATTTATAGTTGACGCCAAATTAAGTTGGTCATTCTTAAAATTGTACGGATTAAGATTCAAGCAACGTCAGTCGTATCTAAATCGACGTTTAGTTAATATGCGGACGGGTAGATGTCTCTGTAACTTGCTAACTTCAAGTTCAACTTTTAATCTGTCAAACTTCGAGGTTGCGTAAATTGATATGCGAATTCAAAACTAAAAGCACTTAAAGGGAACTGTTACTATTTATAGTAGTGAATTATTAAAATAGAAGAAATGGTTGTTATAATTATCTCCACTTATTTGAACCTATACTTAATGTAGGTAAACACACCGATCCTCTGCATTCATTTATAACATGCATTTCAGGCAGAAAACTGGCAAATCAAATGCGTTATTCTAAAATGTTGAACATTAGCTACGAGCAAGGTTTCACAATATCGTATACAGTCCTCTTCTTTCGGCAAAGGTGATTTGGTAACGAGACATCTGTATCTGTACATATCGTGCTTCAGCTTATGAGATTATGTCAAGAAGTCAAAAACAATTTCGTTATACTTATAACAGATGTTCAGTTCTAGTTTAGATGCTACAAGATAATTATAAAGTTACGTCAATGGTTTTCACAATTTCATATGCAAGTTGTTACAATTTACCGATTAAACTCTCCACAAGTGCAAAGTAGTTTTTAAAAAAAAACTGTTTCTTGATGTATTGAAGTAAAAACGTAAAAATAAATGTTAACCAGGTAAACACGAAA